ATAGGGTGCATGTGCTTGCCAGAGAGAGACAGTGAGAAGGAAAGTGAGAAATGACCCCGCCCCCCCTCCCCCGGGAGATGGCCATACTGCAATCCTTTCTTAATTCTCCTCTTGGGATTTTGGTGCATGCACATGTGCCCAGTGTGATTTTTCAAACTGCCAGATTGGGGACTCAAATGAGAGTTAGCCATGTGGGAGTCCAGCGCCTTAACCAACACAGCACCTGCTGGCCTCTAAATTGATTTCCTTTTAAGGGCCAGATAGTGGTGAAGTGGTGATAACACTAGACTCACATAGAGGAGTTTCTGGGTTTGTCAGATGTGTGTACATCTGTCTGTGATCCAGGCTGGCTAGATTGGGAGTGGATCCTGGTGGGAAGACTCTGTTGGGAATGCCTGTCTGTCTGGCTCATGAAAAAATAGATAAATGGACTAAAAAATAGATTTCTTTTTCAAGAAAAAATTACTAATGGGTATGTACACTCACTAGAGAAAGAGAGTAAGACACAGATAAGAGAGAAAGCACCTTCCAATGGGACAGGGTTATGCTGCAATCCTTTTACTCCTATTTCTCCACTATTTCAAGATTATTGAGACACATACATACACTTTTGGCATGTTTTTCAAGCTGGGCTGAGATTTGAACTTCTGTTGGCCATGTGGGGTCCATCTCCCAATGCACAGTGCTTATCCACTGTGCCATGAGGCTGGCTAAAATGATTTCCTTTCACAATTTTCTGGAGCAAACATGTCTAGGAATTTGGGTGACAAATCTTTATGAACTCTGGGTTATAGGTGTGATACTCAGAGAAGAATATTTCTCCCTCTATTCTACACTTGAATCCAGAAAGTGTCCCTACATTCTGCTGTGCACAGCAGGGCAATTTCTCTTACTCTTACTTGAAGGGTAGAGCCCTTTAGAGTTCTGGAGTGTGTATGTTTATGTATGTGTTTTTATGAAGCTTACCACCTTGAGTAGGCTGTAGGCTTTCTCTACTTCCTCTGCATTTCTCTTTGACATCAAAGTAGAAGATAAAGATCTCCTGTGTTTGTGAAAAACTCTCAGCATGAATGATGATTCCATTGTATACCTATTGGGATTTGTGCTCTCTACTTGACTATAATCAAAAGGCATTCATCAGATCAGCAATGTATTTATAATTTTTCTTTTTGATAGAGTGCATGTGTACTCATTAGAGAGAAACAGGGAGAGAAAGAAAGAGAAAGAAAGACAAATGGAGAGAGAGAAAAAAAGTAGCCCCCAATGAAGTGTGGTCATGCTATAATCTCTCCTCCATTTCTCCAACCTGTTGGGATTTTGGATATGTATGTATATGTACTTGGTATGTTTTTCAAGCCACTTGGGTTGGGACTCAAACCACCTGGTTGGCCATGTGGGATTTGGCTCCCTTAACCACTAGGCCATAGGGCTGGCCTGATGTATTTTTTTCTTAATCTGCTTTTTTTTCTTAAAACTTTTATTTATTTTTTTTTTTGGGAGAGGTTTTTGCTATAGGGCATGTGCACTCGCCAGAAAGACAGGGAGAGATAGAGAGACAGAGATACAAAAAACGAGAAATCACCCCCAAGGGGGATGGCCATGCCACAATCCCTTCTCTTCCATTTTCCTCTCAGGATCTTGGGCACGCACACACATGCGCCTGGCATGAGTTTAAGCTACTGAGTCCAGGACTCAAACTACGGTTGGCAACATGGGAATCCAGTGACATAGCCATTATGCTAACTGCTGGTCCCCTTAAAACTTTTTGAGATGTTTTAGGGCATCTAACCTGCCATATTAACAGACTAGGAGTTGAAACACTCTTTTATATTAATTATTTCCTGTAAGTATTTGCTAACGTCATGTTAAAAATAAGAGAAATTAGTCAACCCTCTAAAGTTCTGAAGAAACTGGTTTTGAAGCAAAAGATAATTCATTCAACTAGAAGAAAATCTTTCTTGCCTTGACACCTATAGTTGGCTAACAAGAAAAGTTTTATATAAGTAATTTTTAGAAAATAGCATGAATTTATTACATCTTACTTGTTTATGCTACTACTAATGCATTATTTTATGTAATCTTTTCTTCCTTCTTTTTTTTTTTAGAGGTTTTTACTATAGGGTGCGTACGCTCACCAGACAGACAGAGAGAGACAGAGAGATAGAAAGCGAGAAATCACCCCCCAGAGGGGATGGCCACGCCGCAATCCCTTCTCCTCCATTCTCCTCTCGGGATCTTGGGCACGCACGCACACGCGCCCGGCGTGGGTTTTAAGCCTCCGGGTCCGGGACGTGAACCGCGGTCGACTACGTGGGAGTCCAGCGACACAGCCATTACGCTAACTGCTGGTCCCTCTTTTCTTCCTTTTTGATTTATTATAATTTATTTAATGTTGGAGGGATTTTTGCTATAGGGCATATGGGCTTGCTAGAGAGACAGAGAGAGACAGATAAAAAGTGAGAAATCATCTGCCGGGTGGATGACCACTCTGCAATTTCTTGTCCCCTGTTCTCCTGAGATTTTGGGCATGTATGCGCATGCACCAGTGTGAGTTTGAAGCCACTAGATCCGGTACTCAAACCATAGTCGGCCATATGGAAGCCCAGCAATGTAACCACTATGCCATCTGCTGGCCTCTCTTACGTTTTTATCATAAAAAGTTTCCATAGTCGGCCATATGGAAGCCCAGCAATGTAACCACTATGCCATCTGCTGGCCTCTCTTACGTTTTTAATCATAAAAAGTTTATTTATTTATTTATTTATTTCTTCCATGAGGAAGAGAGAGGGAGAGATTGGCATCTCCAACAGGTTCTTCTTGCTGTGATCCACCCCATTTTCAGCCAGCCCAGATCATGGGCACATGAGCACATGGTGCATATAAAAAGAAGTCTCAGGATATACCTGGGTCCTATGTGGGTCTAGCATCACAGATCATCATGTTATTTCTGCATTCCAGTTGGCCTTCAAACAATTTAAAAAGTTTATTTATTTTTTCAATGAGAGAGAGGAGAAAGTGACAGGTACCCCATTGGGATCTTCATATCATAATTCACCCCTAGTCTCAGCTGGCTTGGATCACAGTCACATACACATATCTGGCATCTCAGGAACGTCCTAGGTTCACATCCCAGGACCTTTTCCATGTGGCTCCAGTTGTATTACCACTATGTCACTGCCTAACCCTCTCATGAAATCTTTTAACAACACCTAGTAATTGAGTGCTTGGGAAAATCACTCAGAGTTTCTGATACCAAAGATCCTCAATTTGCTGATAATGTTATATTCTCTTCAACTAAGATTCGAGGCATCTTACAAAAATGCATTCAGTATAAAAGAATGCAGCTAGTCACTGGGAGACTCAGGAAATGGATAGGAAAATAATAAAGTTTTGCACAAAGTTAACACACAGGAATATGTAAGAATATTTTCTTCCCAATAACTGTGGCCCTTATTTAGTTTTAATCTTCTTAACACATAATGAGAGTAGAACGAGCAGCAACATGATTTAGTTGGCTTGAGTCTTGTTCTGATCAAGGTAAGACAAACTCCTGTTGCTTTGTGAGCCTTTTGGCAACACTGTTGATATTGAATCATGCCCTAAAAGACTGACAGAAGTAAATAAATAAGCAGGCTGGGGGAGGGAATACATAATTTTTTCCTTTTTTTTTTGGTCATAGGGTGAGTGTGCTTGCCAGAGAGAGACAGAGAGAGGAAAAATAAGAAATCACCCTTCCTCCTCCTCTGAGGAAATAGTCTCCTCTCCACTTTTCTCCCCAAGGATCTTGGTCATGCATGCATTTGCACCTAGCATGATTTTCAAGATGCCGAGTCTGGAGCTTGAATAGCAGTTGACAATGTGGGAATCCAGCACCTTACCCATCAAGCCACATGCTGGCCCCAATATGCTTTTTTTTGAGAGGTTTTTTGCTATAGGTGCATGTGCTCGCCAGGAAGACAGAGAGAGACAGAGAGACACAAAGCGAGAAATCACCCGCCAGGGGGGATAGCCATGCTGCAACCTGCAACCCCTTCTCCTCCTTTCTCCTCTAGGAACCTTGGGCCTGCACACACACATGCCCTGTGTGAGTTTAAGCCACTGGGTCCGGGACTCGAACTGCCGTTGACTATATTGGAGTCCAGTAACGTGGCCAATATGCCAACTTCTGATCCCAGCCCCAATATGTTTTACTTCTAGAAAATGAAGTTCTTCTGAGCTATGGACAACTACCCTGCTAGAAAGTTGGTTTAGGGCTGGACCTACCTGGTGAAGGGCCTACCTTAGAGAGACCAGGAATGGGGGTGGAGTCTCACTGAGCATCAGATTTTGATCTGTTATCAGGTCTCAGGTCACTCTAGAGTTTTTCTATTCTGTTAAAACAAGTCCCCTTCTAAGTCCTTCATGATCTTGGGGCTCCTGGTATTGGGAAGGCCTGAGATGCATGAAGACTCTTAGAGTTGCTATTAACAATAGGAAGATCTCATATTGTTTCAATTTCAACCATCAGGGTCCAACTTTTTAGTGCCAAATTATAGCTAGACTGTGTCTTTTTGTAAAAGCTATTTTCTGTGTATGATCAGGTGTTTGTGTATGTGTGTGTGTGTGTGTGTGTGTGTGTGTGCACACGCATGCGCCCATGCACTCGTGTATGTGTGCACATGAGAGAGAGAATTCTTATTGCACAGTATTGGCATAATGAAAATGGATAAAAACAAATGTAAAGTTCACAGATTTTTTAACTTTTGAGGTTAGTCATCTTTGACAAAGCAAACTGGGATAACCTTTCATGTTAGCTCCTAATATAATGACAAATAAATAAAAAAAGATCAATTTAGGTAAATATACTGGCTCACAAGTGTGCAGTGGGTTTAAACATTCTTTTTCTTTGCTTCAAGGATTTCGACTCTTTCTTCTCTGCAAAAGAAGAGAATATTATTTATTCGTTCCTTGGTTTGGCGCCTCCTCCAGGCTCAAAGGTAGGCATAAACACCCCCTCAGAGTTGGATAGAGGTATAATAAATAAAGATAGAAATCAGTATCCAAAACTGCTTAATAAATGATCTTTTTTTTTTTTTTAAAGAATTACTTTATTTATTTATTTATTTTTTAATTTGTCAAGAGAGAAGAGAGAACAAGCCTCCAGGTCCAGGACTTGAACCATAGTTGGTCATGTAGGAGTCCAGCACCCATAACCACCATGCCACCTGCCAACCTCAACAGAGAATAATATTATTTATACCATTCCCTTGCATATGTTACTTTGTATCCTGTGTATTAATAGTTTATCCTGTACAGTTAGATTATTTAAACTGAGGAAAGAAAATTAAACTTGAAAGTAAAATAATTATTAGGAAGCCTATTCCAAAGAAAGTCGGTGTAGTACTTTTTATATCTTCTGTATTTATATCTAGATTGTACTATATAATAAATGTTTATTTTTAAAACTACATAATTTTAATACACTTCTTATTTGGAAGAATTCTGTTTTTGTTTTTTTAAGTTGCCAGAGGGCATGCACTCACTGTGTGAGAGACAGAGAGAGAAAGAGAAAAAGAGAAGTGAGAAAGCACGCTCTTTGAGAGATAGTCATGCCACAATCCCTTCTCCTCCATCTCTTTATCCTTTCGAGATTTTGGGCACACATGCACATGTGGTTGGTGTGTTTCTTAAGCCAGCAGTTCTGGGACTGGAACTGCATTATCAGCCATGTGGAATCTAGCTACCTTTAACCACCACATCATATGCTAGCTCAAGAATTATCATGCATAGAGAAAATGCAAAGTTTTTATTAAAACATTTTCCAAAATTATGGTTTTCATTTTTTGCTGTCATAATATTCATATTTTCACCTCATTATAGTACAATTTATAACACTTAAGTAAGATAATTTTTTGTATTCAATAACCCTATGTGCATTAATTAAATAAGTAAAAATATGAACTCTCAGGTGTATTTATGAAATTATTTATCATGAATTGACTTCTCATACAGATTGTACTAGTTAATTCCACATATGCCCTAATGTTAATTATTTCTATTTAAAATGAATTGAACTTTTTAGTCTGATAAAGTGGATAAAAGTAAGATCTAGACATGTTTCATAAGTTTTTTTCTCATCTTTGACTTTGTATAGTTTAATGGAGAATTATGCTCATAAATCTACACCATGAATTTGAATATTTAACTTAGATCACTTGGTTTCACTCCGTGCAATGGTTTTTGCCTCCCTTACCTCCATGAAGACTCTCATACCTGACTTTGAATAGACACAAGACAAAATACACATTTGTTTAATCCATTTATTTTTCAAATTAATTAATTTTAAACTTTGTACCCAGATTCATTTCAAGAGTGATTTGTGATGACTTGGTCAAATAAATTCTCACTATAGGAGAAAAAATTAAAAATCTGTATTTTATAGAGATGGGTTTTTAGAGCCTTGTGGAGGTGCTGTCTTTCACATGTCAGCATTTTTAGGCAATAATGTTGGAAGATTCTGGTTGCTTAGGTTAATACTTTAAGGTCTTGAACTAATTCTTTCTCCAAATGGCACCATAGACTTAGCTAGTTAGCTAATGGTTCTACAAGGAGAAAAATCTTTCCTTTTAATGAAGATTTTAAATCCCCTTTTGGCTTTGGTCAATTTAAATGTAACATATTTTATACACTTTAGCAAAATGCTAATGGCTATAACATGCAATTTAATATCTTTATTTGGAATCAGATTTAATTAAATGAGTCATATTAGTTTAGGTATTATATTTAAGAAGAGAGAGTACCTTAGTGTTAAGGTATATTTCTTGGTAGGGACACTCAGGTTACTATTGTCCTGAAAGATGAGAAGGAAAGTGGAGCGAAGAGTATTTTAGGCAAAGGGAAGAGCAAGTGCAAAGCTCTTGAAGCAGGAAAGAGCTCAGAGAGTTCTAAGAATTGCCATGAGGCCCATGTTGCTGGAGTGAGGGGCAGAGACCCCCATGGGAAGTGGGAGTGGCACGTGAGCAACCTGTGGGCCATGAGAGTGCTCTAGATTCTATCTTAGGTACAGTGGAAACATTGCAGTGATTTTAGGAAGAGGAGTAAAATTATTTTATTTCCTTCTTGAAAGATTCTTGTGGCTACCATGGTTTGAATGGATTAAATGAATGCAAACCATTATAGTAATACAGATGAGATGTCATGGAGCCGTGGGCAGGGTGGTGAAGGTAGAACTAGAAATGAGTGAGTGGAGGAAGAAAAGCTGAGACTTTTTTGATGGGTTAAATGAGGGATAGGGATAGAATGAATGATTTCTTCTAGGCAGTGTGTAGAAGCTTGTTCTGATGGAGGATCGTATTTGTAGGGGGACATTAAATTAGATGATACATCTAAGAAGTGAGGTAGGCAGTTGCATGTGAGTCTGCATCTTTTTTTTGGTCAGAAATTTATTTTTAATTTTTAAAATGAATTAATTTACTTACATTTAATCACATCTTTAAGTATACAATATTTCTTTTTCCAGCACAAATACTATGCATGTCAGTCAAACCAAAGATACTACTCTATAACTTATCAACAAATAGCTTCTTATTTTTTTTATCAATTAAGCATACTTCTACCTGTTTTTCCCTTCCCCTTTCCCCTCGCTCCCTTCCATACTAAACTTTTTTTCCCCACATTTTATTGATTCACAAAATACCCTAAACTAAAAATATGGACAAAGCTAGAATCTAGTTGCAAGTGTACTTTAATTTTCTTGTGAAACATTTTTAAAAATTGATTAATTAATTTACATTAATTCTTTGAGTATCATCACAGCACACAAAATGTGATCTCCCATCCAGAATACACTGCACAGTGGCTCAATCATACATGTTATCAATAATTTTCTATTTCTAGTTTCATATTTATGTATATATATATTTTACTCCTATTTCTCACCCTCTGCCATTTCCCGTCCTCCTCCCACACTATCTCAGGTGTCTAAAGTTGTCTTCCATTCCAGTTTCCCCCCACATTTCACTGATTTACAAAACTTCCCAAATAATCTAGCTACTTTCAATAGCAAGTTCAGCTGGTATATGTATATATCCATGAACACATGTCTGACTTTAGGTGTGAAACTCTTGAGTAGAATGAATATACTCTAAGGTAGTACCTATAGCTGATGCTATATAGCTTGAAGCATAGAAGAAAATCAGTAATATTTTCGTCAAAAGTTGTAAGATTCTATTTCAGCAGTTCAGTCTCATGTACTTAATCTATCTTCTTTTGTGGTCCAGTCTTCCTGTTTAAATTCTGGAACATTTAACTTGAGACTTGTCCCTACCATTAAGTTGGCTATTTTCTTAGTTGTTATTGAACTCTTATTTCTGTGTGTCTGCATTTAGTTTTCCTGATATAGGAAAACTCCCTTCAAAATGTTTTGGAGAGCTGGGCTGATTTTGGTAAATTCTCTATTTTTTTTTTAAATTTTTAATATTTTATTTTTTTCTCCTGAAACATTTTTTAAAATTAAATAATTAATTTACATTTATTCCCTGAGCATCATCACAACATACAAAGTGTGATTTCCCATCTAGACTATACTGTCTGTATTTAATTTTCCTGGTATAGCACTCCCTTGAGAACTTCTTGGAAATCTGGTATGGTGCTGGTAAATTCTTTCAGGCTTTGTTTATCTAAGAATGTTCTTGTCTTTTCTTCCCATATGGAGGATAATCTTGCTGGGTACAGTATTCTTGTTTGAAATTGCTTTTCCCATAACACTTTGAATATATCTTCCCATTCTTTCCTCACTTGCATTGTTTCCGATGAGAGATCCACTGTTAGCCTGATGGGATATCCTTTGTGGGTAACTTGATGTTTCTCTCTTGCCAATCTTAATATCTGGTCTTTGTCTGTGATTTGGGTCAATCTGGCTATAATGTGTTTTGCACAAGTTCTTCTTGGGTTGATTCCATGTGGGGTCCTTTGTATTTCTTGGGACTGGATCTTTGAATACCTATCTAGATTTGGAAAGTTTTCTTGCAGGATTTCATAGAATAGATTTTAAATGCCCTAATGATTCTCTTCACTTTCTGGGATACCAATTATCTGGATGTTTGGACATTTGATGATATCTAGAATTTCTCATATATTATTATGATTTTTTTGGGAAATTTTCTCAGTCTTTGTGTTGGATTTTTCTAGGTCAGCAATTCTATCTTTTACACCTGAGATTTGATTTTCTGTATGCTCTAGTCTGCTTTTAAAACTTTCAAGGGAGATTTTGACTTCCTGTATTATAGCCTTCATGTCTAACAGGTCCATTTGATTCTTTTTTATAGTGTGTATGTCTTCTTTTAGAACTTGCAAGAATGTTCTTACCTCCTGGAACTCCTTTCTCCTGTCTCTTCTGCAGTTCATTGTCTTTCTTTTCTTCCATCTCTGTTAGCTTTGTCACTATGAATATTCTAAATTCTTTATCAGACATTTCTATGAGTTTCATTGTACTGTCTGAGGATGAAAAGGAGTTTTTCTTTTCCCTTGAAGGAGAGGTATTTTCTTGATTTCCTATATTTCTTGTGATGCTGCAGTGATTCCTAGTCATCTGATAGATGGTGCATTTCTTCCTAGTTCTTGAAATTCAATCTGAGCGTTCAGAGGCATGCAGGAGGAGGTGATCTGTAATCTCTTTTCTGTTCCATTTTCACTTTTTGTGTATCAAATTCAGTGGGAATAGAGGAATATTTTGACCCTAATCATATTCAGATGTTTGGATCCTACATACTTGGACCTGTCTAGAAACTTAGTGCGTGGAGGCTGCAGTGGGGCAGTTGTTTCATGTTTATGTTTTGTCTGTCTACCTGAGAGCCAGCAAGATAAATCTGGGTCTGCATCTTGATAGATCTGGTTAGAGATACATATGTGGAAGCCACAAAGCATGTGAATGGAATTGAAGTCATGGGAAGTAGATGAAACCAAGTAGCAAAAGAGTTAACAGCAAGGAGGCCAGATG